CCAATTAAAATTCATCTTGGATATCTTGCCTATTATTTGTATTTGTTATAACATTCACATGAACACCCCTTCCACTCACCCCCAGAAACCAAAATCATAAAACAGATAGCACTAAGAAATCAACAAAAGTACACATGTACACCAGAACTACATTAAGAATATAAGATAACTATCAAAAACTTAAATCTCAAAAAATAACAAACTTCATACTACGATACTCAGAGAGAAGTCCATTAAAAAATAGAAAAGAACTTTGTCGGTAAACATTCTGTGAAAAATGTTAAAAGGACAAAGCTTATTTTCATCTTATTATCTCAAGCCCTCAATATAAACCCTTCATAAATAACAGAGCCTACTTAATTTATGAAAGCTAGAAGCTTCAATTACCTTAACTATTGTATCCAAAACCAGCATATGAAAATTTCATGATTTTAGCACACAACAAACGTCCCTAGTATCATAATTTCGTGAAATTACACATAGTACAGACATAAATTAATACCCAATTTAAGGATATTTGAGATTAGACCACAAACACAGGACGATCAAAAGAATTGTCAAATAAACCATGCATTACATCATTTCGCAAACAAAAAGATAAAAATTGAAAGAAAAAAAATCCATAAATTCAGAACCACAATTAAAAATTTTAATCAGCACTCTCACCGCATAACCACACCCAATAATATAATTGTCAACAATCACCAACTATGATAGAGAATAGCAAGCAAATAACTAAAGATTAACGCAAGCAAAGAACCAAAGATTATCAAAGGCGAAACCTTGATTGAAACAGCCCGTAGAGAAACCTTCGATTTGGCAACACGAGCTCAAAACCTTGATTGAAAGAGCCCGTAGAGAACCCTTCGATTTGGCAACACGAGCTCAAAGGAATTTTGGGTTGTGGGTTTTTGAGAGAGGAAAAGGATTAACCAGTGTTCGAAAAGGCGCCAAAATGCGCCGCCTAGGCGCGATGCGGGGACCAAACNTATTATTTGTATTTGCTATAACATTCACACGAACACCCCTTCCACTCACCCCTAGAAACCAAAATCATAAAACAGATAACAATAAGAAATCAACAAAACTACACATGTACACCAGAACTACATTAAGAATATAAGATAACTATCAAAAACTTAAATCTCAAAAAATAACAGACTTCATACTCCGATACTCAGAGAGAAGTTCATTAAAAAATAGAAAAGAACTTTGTCAGCAAACATTCTGTGAAAAATGTCAAAAGGACAATGCTTATTTTCATCTTATTATCTCAAGCCCTCAATATAAACCCTTCATAAATAATAGAGCCAACTTAATTTATGAAAGCTAGAAGCTTCAATTACCTTAACTATTGTATCCAAAACCAGCATATGAAAATTTCATGATTTTAGCACACAACAAACGTCCCTAGTATCATAATTTCGTGAAATTACACATACTACAGACATATATTAATACCCAATTTAAGGATAATTTGAGATTAGACCACAAACACAGGACAATCAAAAGAATTGTCAAATAAACCATCGCATTTTCGCAAACAAAAAGAAAAAAATTGAAAGAAAAAAATCCATAAATTCAGAACCACAATTAAAATTTTTAATCAATACTCTCACCGCATAACCACACCTAATAATATAATTGTCATCCATCACCAACTATGATAGAGAATAGCAAGCAAATAACCAAAGATTAACGCAAGCAAAGAACCAAAGATTATCAAAGACGAAACCTTGATTGAAACAGCCCGTAGAGAAACCTTCGATTTGGCAACACGAGCTCAAAACCTTGATTGAAAGAGCCCGTAGAGAACCCTTCGATTTGACAACACGAGCTCAAATGAATTTTGGGTTGTGGGTTTTTGAGAGAGGAAAAGGATTAACCAGAGAATACTCTGTTACATGAGAGTGAAGAGAGAGGGAAGATAAGTGAGAAATGCCATTTCCCATGTTTTGGCAAAAATACCGTGTTTTGGCTTCAGTTTTGCCAAAACGTGGTTTTGGTTGTTTTCTGTTTTCAACGGTTCTTTTTTTTCATTTTCGAAAACGCATTTTCGAAAATAGGAAAGAGAACGCATTTTCAATGTTTTGAAAAATTGAAAACAGAAAATGGCTTGAAAACGATAAAAAGAACATGGCCTTAAGTTTCTCGATACAATAGTTTAACTTAGATAGACATTTAGTTCAATTGTAGTTGTAACATGACATTTTATGGATGCACCATGCTAGAAGGTTAGATACATGATGCCCTAGTTTGATCTTCATTATTTTAAAAATATATTTTTATCTCTTTTATTTTCAACAACACATTTTTCAATAAAATAATATTACACGCAAACTTAAAACTTTTTCTTATTTTTTAATTACACATTTTTCATCAATTTAATATTTCAAATTGCATTCTTACTATAAAACGGGGTTCAAATAGGCACGTCTGACATGGACTACACATAGTTTAGGTAGGTAGGTTGTCCAAATTGTTTATGGCCAACAAATTCCTCAATGCATGTTCGATTATATTTTAAAGCTAATAAATTAAAGATTTATATTTACAAAATTTAATAGTAAATAAAATAACTAAAAAATTATTGTAAATATAAGTTTCATTTAGTACAAAATAAATAGTTCGAGAAGGTTTATCCATTAACTTGAGTGGATCTCGTCAAATTTATGTGGTACAAAATAAATAGTTGGACAAGATTTAGGACGTAATAAATATTTAGACGTGGATTTATCGAGGTGAAGTTCTTAAAAAGATCAATAGTTTTTTCCTTAGCAAAAGAATGAACCCAAAAACATGTCATATCAGCCACCACAGTTTCGCAAACGGCATTTAGCTACCCAACAAAGCGGCCAAACAGAGCAATCACATCATCCCAACCAAACAAAAATTCATGAATTTCCCCGAAACTTCCTAACTCGTTTATTACAATCTTTCATCACGAAATACATCTGCCAAACATCAATTATGTTGTCGAGACACCTCGTGTCCCTCAAACAAACC